GGTTACCTTCGACAACGAGTCGATTATTGCCTGGGTCCATACGGACGAGAGGATAATCGTGTCGTGGGACCACTGGCCAAGACTGTCGACCGAAATCCAGGATCGAATTATATCCATCCCTTGGGAGGACGACGGGTGGTTCCCGTGCGGCCGGTACCACTGGGTGAGGACAGGTTTTGCAAACTGTCCTGTCTGCAATTGTCCGGTCAAATACAAATACAAGGTCACGCATGATTACATGGCCCAGACGTGGAACAACCGCGTTATCCCTCGGTCCCTAGAGGCGAATGGCCTCTTCATAGCGGTGGATCATGAAGAGGGTCTTTCATGGGATCGCCACCAATATATAAAGGCGCGTGCAAAGAGGCAAGCGAGAGCTGCTGCCAATGTCATGAAAAAACATCAGCAACAACAATCAGCAGGAGCGAAAATGGGCTTCTGGACAGCTTACTACAATGGCGGCCGCTGGCACGATATTCGGCAATAGCCAGCCAGGCAACTTTCCAGCTTGGGTCCCAGAAAACGCCGTGGCTCAGCCACCGGCGCGCCATGCCCCTTTCTTTCAATATGTGAAGACTTTGGTCAGAAGGTTCATATCGTGGCTTGAATATTCAGCCAGAAACGTAAACAGGCAAACCCCAGCAATTGATACCTGGTGGCCGAAATTGTGGGAATTTAAGTTTGACCAGTATGCTCGTCCGAGGTCTTGCCCAGCCCTGGAGGCCTTTTATTGGCCGGACGAAGAGGATGACTTAGTCACTCCTATGAACGGCTGGGGAGATGGTATAACAACATGACTAGAACAATTGTCTTTGTTCCGACGCTTAATAAAATAGACGACGCGGTAAATTTAGGGAGACCATGGTTACCCACGCAGAATGCAGGCGCTTTGGATGAAGAAAATGGGAACAACGCCGGAGACAACAACCCTCCTGCGCGATTACCAGTTGACTGGGAGAACAATTTTAGAGCGAGGCCGACTCGCAGATCTCAGTCTGTCTCAAGTTGGATTAGTGTGTGTCGGGACCACCGTCTCATTATCCCGGTGTTGCGACATGCCACCGGCGAAGCCGCGATGGCACGCGAACAGTCACAGATGGATCTGGATCTCTCAGCAATCAGCGGGCCTGAGGCCACGCTGATAACTGACGGAACCATCACTCTTGATCATTCTGAGGGACACGTATACTTTCACCGCGATGACCCTTTGATCAAGATAAGGTTGTTCGGGACAGAGGTTCGGGCAGTTGCAGCCCATTATGTAGTTGAACACACAGGCGCAAGCCATGCTAATTCTGGCAGGGTTACCCTGACCGGAACGACAGAACACGTGATCCCGGAGATCATCAAGACCATAGCAGATGACAATTGGTTGGCCTCGGTACAACAAATGCAACTGGGTCTTCGGCCCATAAGGATTTTTGCAATTGTCCGCGAAATTATCAGCTTCTTCGTATCGGAAGATTACTTTATTGGTTACCCGGGGCGAATTGTTCGCCCCAATATGGCACGCGCGGAAAATATTGTTTCAAAAAGACGGACCGACGAGTATGCTCTTGACTGCCGCATCCGTGCCGCTGTCCAAACGGACGACATAATAGAACAGTGCGCCCACAAGATGGGCAGGAAAGTGCAAAATGATGTCCGTCGCCACGGTGCTCTTATACAGGAAGCCTTTTCTTGGCTTCAGGATAAATATCTTGACCCTGGCACTGAACTCCAGGACAAAGATTACGGACCCTTCCGTACTGCATGCGGAAAGTATGGTGTCGCTGCAGCGACAGCTGCCAGGAGTTTATTACAATTCGTGAGAGATCGTAACAATAACGACCCCGACCACGACGGCGAAGCCGAGCTCGCGGGACCACGAGCGCCGGCTGGAACGAAGGCTAGACCTTTATCGCGCCCTCCGCCTCTTAGACCTGGCGTCTCAGACGTTCGGGCGCCCGAAGAAGCCACCGAGCCCCCACGTTCTGTCGCCGGCTCAGCCGCGACGACTAGGGGGACATACCCTCAGCATCCCAGCACACGGGATCGGTCGGATTCACGGCGCGCGCGCGATGGGGCCATGGATGCTGCCAGCGGCGCGGCCATGGATGCTGCCAGCGGCGCGGCCATGGATGCTGCCAGCAGCGCTGCGGACCACAACTACGAGTACGACCCGTCCATGTCCTACCCGTGCTACGTGAACAAAATCCACGCCGGGTACTACGTCCATCGGAACAGGATCACGTGGCTGCCCGACGACGAGTGGTATACTCTGGACTACTGGCACGTGCTATCAAAATATGAGCACGAGTTACGCTTCCCGTCAAAAGGGACAGCATCAAAGAGCGACACTGACAAAGGAAGAGGGCGGTCCCGCACGCCTCGTGGCGTGGGCGTACAGACGGGGGGATCGGCGTCGTCGAATCCGCCGCTGCCGGCGCCGCCCAGAGCAGAGGACGAGCCCAACCCGTTTGAGGACTTGAGCTGAGTTTCGCCCGCGTGACTCAGTCGCGGCTGGCGCATGCAAGACAGCTTCATCCACGCGCGGAACGCGTGTTGGACGTGAATGCCTTTGCTGGTCGGCTAAGCCGGTCCAGCGGAGAGAATTCATTTATCACAATGGTGGGAAACGTCGAGCCTCTTCGGCCCTTGGCCCCCTGGCAGCCACCGTTGAGCTGTAAAAGCTTTTTCGGGTTGGCTCCGGTGGTTGTGCATGTGTACAGGCCGGCGGTGCCGTGGCTGGATGGGCTCTACGCGGCCCGCCGCGGGGGGGGTAAATATGCTCCTCTCCGCCTCATATTCAATTAGAACTTAAACTTAGTTTGCATGCGTTGCACTGTCCGCTGGAACTAACAGCTGCGTTCCGCAGATGCGTGGATGCTCAAACAAGCCAGTCTTGGCTTGCAGGAGAGAAAAGGAGCGCGCCAGCCCTCGGCCGTCGCGCGTCGTCGGTCGTAGGCCATCCGGCCTCTTCCCTTCACATTCCTGATAGAGTAATCTTGCTTAGCGGATACTTGTCTTATCAATGTCTCACCCCGTCCCCTCTCTCCCTGAGCAGAGTGAACATGATATCTTAATTCTTTTGTCATCTTACCCCGATTCTCAGAGGAAAGACTGAATCAGCTACAGGTGAGCTGCTTCTCGAACCCCCCTTTTGCTATCCCCCCGTTGCGCCCCGCCCGAATCGGGGGCCAGTCGTGCCGTGCTGCCGACGTGTATAGTCGGGTGTTGCTAGAAATGCCCCTGGGCCAAGGTGCCCCCAGGGTTCCCAGGGTAGCCCGAACGGCCTCCAGAGCACCCCTCACGAAGCCCAGAGGGCCCCAGGGGTTCCAAAATGGATTGAAAAACTGGGGGCACCTTGGGCCAGGGGCACTTCTAGCAACACCTGGTATAGTTGGTGCCTTCCTAGACGAGGCAGCGCCCCTTCCAGGTCGGCGCCTTCTCTTCCCAGAGGCCCGAGGATCCGATATGTTTTCCTCCAGCGGCGTTTTTCCAGGAGCTCGGTCTCCGGGGCCCGGGATCGTGCCTGAGGACCCTCGAGAATGGATCCGAGACGAAAAACCAACCCGGGGTTAAGTCGAGCCTGTCCCCCTACAGAGGGGGATTTTCGATGAAAAATAGAAATCGTGACGAGCTGCCGACGAGGCAGCGCCTGGTCGGCGCCTTCCCTCCCCAGAGGCCCGAGGATCCGATCGGTTCTCCTCCCGGCGTCATTTTTCCTAGACGAGGCAGCGCCCCTTCCTAGACGAGGCAGCGCCCCTTCCAGGTCGGCGCCTTCCCTCCCCAGAGGCCCGAGGAGCCGATCGGTTCTCCTCTGGCGGCGTGCTTTTCCTAGACGAGGCAGCGCCCCGTCCTAGACGAGGCAGTGCCCCTGCCAGGTCGGCGCCTGCTCTCCCCAGAGGCCCGAGGAGCCGATGGGTTCTCCTCCGGCGGCGCGTTTTTCCGGGAGCTCGGCCTCCGGGGCCCGGGAGCGGGCCGCGGGCTTGGCATCGCTCGGACGTGTGCATTTTTCCTTCGGCGAGGACCATCGACGAGCATCCTTGATCATTTCGCGAAAAAGCCACGCACGAAACCGACAAAAAACACAGGAAATGGACGTCCGAGCGATGGCCAGCGGGGCCCTCGAGAAGGGATCCAGGGCGAAAACCCCCCCCGGGGGAACGGTTAAGTCGGGCCTGTCCCCCTGCAGGGGGATTTTGGACGAACAAAAACGAAATAATCCAAACAGATTCCAAAATGGGCAGAAAATGCTCAAAAAGATCGTCCCCAGCTTATTTGTTTTTCTACTATTTTTGAGTATTCGTCCTGTAGAGGGGACGGGTCCGATTTGACCCCGGGGGAACGGGTCGGGACCTCTGGGGCCGCGGATTGAAAAAATCCGATCGGCGGATGTCTGGGTCTGTAGCCGCTCTGGCCAGTCCCCCCTCGCTTGCGTTCCCCCTCGCTTCCGAGGGCCGGCGCAGGGAGTGCTGCAGCCCCGGGCCCCTCGGCCCCCTCCCCCGAGACATCTTGGGTTTCATTTTGTTGTGTTGCTCCGGATCGCTCCTTCCCCCGCGCATGATACGGAATGGCGCAATGCAGTCAGCGTCGGCGGGATGGGCGGTGGAAGTTGCTGTCCAGCCTCGCCGCTGTGCCTTTGGCCGCAGTCTTCGGGAGGGAAAGAAGGATGTACGCGTACAATAAGTGGCGCTCGCGTAAATGGACCGGGTTCGTTCGAATTTGGTTCGCAGTATTCTTACGAAATTCGTTCAAATTGAATTCCGACCCTCCATCCCTCCAAACTCCGCCGCAGGCGCCCGGAAAGTGAATCATTTTACGGCCGTGCTCCCAAATTGGAGGCATCCCCCTCTGCGTCGGGAGAAAGGGTCGGGACTTCCTGGCTGCCCGCGCAGCACGCCGCCGGACGCCTGGGGACCAGGAGTGGCCCTCTGTTTCTGCTACCGCGCGGGAGCGTTGCCGCCACTCTCCCTCGTCGCGGCGTGGCGCGGCGCGCGCCCTCGCTGCGGCGGGAGCCCCCCCGCCCCCCGCCCTCCAGGAGCAGCGGTGGATCCTGCAGCAGTACAAGTACGTGCGCAAGGACCCCCCCTCGGCCGCGCGCGCTCCTGGGTGCCCAGGGGGGGAGGAGGAGGAGGAGGAGGAGGAGGAGGAGGAGGAGGAGGAGGAGGAGGAGGAGGAGGAGGATTCCAACGTCCCAGATCTCCGACCATGGTTTGTCCCATCCGGAGGTGTTCCTTCAGTTCGGCCTCTGGGGCCCGAATGGATCCAGGAAAAGTGCCCCTCTGGTGAAGCGGCTGGGGCACCGTAGCCATGACTCAAGCCATTTTGGCTCAAGCCGCGCGGGCGCACCCGCTGAGGCTCAAGCTGGCTCGTCATGTGCGACCGGTGTGCGCCGCTGGAGGTGGTCCGGGCTTGAGGATGGCGCGGGAGGGCGGAGCCTTTCTCCGCCCAGAGCGCTCGGCCGAAGCTCCCCGAGCCTCGCGTGCCTGGGCGTGCTGGTCTGCCGACCGTGCCGTGGCCAGGAGCTTTGGAGAGCTCAAGGCGTCCGCGTTCAGCTGGCGACGGCAGAGACGGCCCTGGAGATGCTCGTCGGCGACGCGGAGCTGGCGCAGCGGGTGCGGGCCCTGATGCCTGCCCTCCGGGCGATGCTGCATGGAGAGGTGCCCAGCTGGTTGGAGAAGTTACGGAGGAGCGTCGCTTTGCATGCAGATCCAGAGGGGATCGACGTGGCAGCGGCGGACGCTGCCACGCTCCGCCATGCTCGGAGTGGGCTTCGCCTCGAGGCACGGCGCGACGCTTCTCCCCTTGGCACCTTCTGTTTCTCGGCGTCGGCGACGGAGTTCGTGCCTGGTGTCTGGAGCGCGCTGCCCGAGGCGCCCGAGGTGGTCATCGTGGATGTGATTCCCGCTGACTTCGAGGAGCTGGAGGAGCAGTGCTGCCAGCAACCCGCCGTGGGGTCCCACCCCCCGCGGTGGGCGGCTCTGAGGGTGAGGCAGTTTTCGTGGAGAGGTCCGACGCTAAGCTGTGCGACCCCATCGTGCTTGAGGAGCTTTCGCTTGGTGATCGAGGAGCAGCGACTGCTTTGGGTGCGGGGGCGCCCTGGCCGATTCGCCCAGCCGTTCGTGCAGCGCTTGGCGCGGATGGCAGCCTCGAGCGAGGAGTGCGGCGCGGCGGCCCAGGGTGGCGACGCCAAGGGAAAGGAGCTGGTCTCGATGCTCGGCGCTGGCCACGCGGTCGGCGAGCAGGCGCCGTCCGTGGAGAAGGGCGGCCTTGCTGCCCAGCCTGCCTCTTCCTTTTATGCCGCGTGGGCGCCAGCGGGGCTGCCCCACGACCCTGGTGAAGGGTTGCTCTTCGGGGAAACTTCTAACGGTGTTGCACCTCGCGGTCCTGCTGCGCTAGGCCCTCAATCGTCTTCGGCTGCTGGTCGTCCCTTCGCGTGGAGCCCCTCGGAGTTCTCCGACAACGACGGCGACCCGCTTGACAAGTACGATTTGGACGGCTTCGACATCTAACAGGACACGCGTGCACACATCAAAACTGTGGTAGCACGCCCCCCTCGTGCTGTTCTCGATGTTCCTCGGGTTCCTCGCGATCGTTGTGGTGCTCGCGGCGGTGTTCTGGCTCATCGTGATCGCATTCGTGGCGCTCGTGGAGGTGTCCCAGGACGTAGGGGAGAACTTTTTGAGGTCAAAGAGCGGCCGGGACTGCGGGGGCCGCGGATGGGAAAAGCGGATCGGCGGATGTCAGGGGCTTGCAATGCCTGGATAGTTGTTCATGTACCAGTCATTGTATAAACTTCGGGACGGCGCCGTTAAATTTGGGGCGACTGCCCCCCCGAGAATTCCTGGAGGTGTCCAGACGTTTCTGGGAGCAGGCTCCAAGAGGGACGATTACATCAAAACGCGTAGATCCTCGAGGGTTCTCGATCCTTGATCAAACACGCTTGATGATCCTCGACGTTCGATTACCCTCGTTCCTCGATGATCCTCCATCTTCGATGATCATTGATCCCTGTTCCCCGACGATTATCGACGCTCCGTCCAAGAAATATGTTGGATTGTCCTCGACGATCGATGACCCTCGATCCTCGTGTATCCTCGATCCCCGATGTTGTTTATCCTTGTTCCCCGATGATCCTCGACGCTCCGTCGGATAATCTCGATGGCCCTCGACCCCCGACTTGAAGCCTGCCGCGGAGCGGCGCTGACGACGTCGGCGGCGACGACGTCGACGAGTGGCGCTTGCAGTCAAGACGCTCACGATAGTCGGCCATGCGCAGCGGGCACTCTGGGCTTCTTAATAAGCGCGGGGGGGGGGGGCCCACAGGGGTCAACCTCGCCTCGTCGTCGCGCTGCGACGGTGGTCGGAGCGCCTTCGGCGCGCCGCGGCTGCCCGCGACAGGGGTCGACGCGGGGCTGTCGGCGGGGGCGACGCCCCCCCCCCCCCCGACGCTGATTAAGAAACTCGGAGCAAGTACCCTGAGATCCTGGCGTCCCAATCTTGTTGAATCGTTTTGCTCGCTCGCCATCGCAGGCGTTTGCCTGCGCGTTCGCGGCCTCTTGGAAGCCGTTTGGGAGCCCCTCGAAGCTGCTTTTTGGGCCTCTCGGCGGCGTTTCTGGGACCTCCTGGGGCGTCACGGGGGCCCCTTGGGGGTCTCCTGGGGCTTCTCGGGGGCATCTTGGCTTCTTGGGGGCCTCTTAGGGCCTCCAGGGGACCTCTCTGCGCCTAGAGCTCGAAGTGTTCGCTGGGGTCCCCCGTCTGGTCCCGCTCTTGGTGCGTCTTGGGAGCTTCCTCGGCGATGGAGGCCTCTTGGGCCGTCTTGGCGGCGCTTTGGGCCGTCTGGAGGCCATCTTGGCGTTTTGGATCGCTCTTGGACCGTCTCGGACCAGGTTGAGCTCTCTTGGAGGCCGCTTGAAGTGTTCCTGCAGCGCTCTTGGGCGCCTGCTGGGACCTCGCCGGGACCTGCCTGGGACTTTGCCAGGACCTGCCCGGGATTTGCCCAGGACCTTGCTGGGGTACGTTTCGTCCGGGGATCCCCAGGGGCGGCCCCGCGCGCGCGAACTAGAAGTATTACTAACCAGTTACAGGAGACCTTAGTAGGCCGTTGGCCCGTTGGACCAAAATTCGAGCTGGGCGGTTTTGCCTTTTTTCGGGCCCCGGGGGCCCTCGCAGATCGATCCGGTTTGAAAAATGAAGCAGATAAGTGGTGTCTAGGGCTCGGTGCGTGATTTCTTACGATGTTGCAGTTTTTTCGCTACGTCGGACTTCAGTGTAGGGAGAGGGGGGAAGGCCTCTTAGAAGCACCTTTGCTTCTTAGAAGACGCGGGCCTTGTCTGTAGATGTGAGGCCGGCGCCTTCTAAGAAGCAGCGTGTTTCTAAGAAGCCTTCCCCCCTCTCCCATACTCCCTTGTGCGCGCCGCCAAGATAGGCCCTGGTTTTCGGGCCGGTCCTCGGATCCAGGTCGGACACCGTGTTCGTGGCCGACCCTTGCCGCGGCCCCCAAAAAAAACCGTCGTTCCACATTGATTGCTCCTCATAAGGTAGCACCTTTTGATGGTTGCCCCAGGGGCCCGTGGAAGAACACTCAGCGTAAACATGAATTTCTGAGGTCCGCGCAGATTCATCGGATTGGCGCTGTGCCCGTCTCCGGTGCCGCACCTGGATCGCTCCGCGCGCGTGTGGGGGGGATCAAGCGCAAGTTTTTCGGAAGTTTTCGTCGGCTTGTGGTGGTTTTTGTGCCTCGGGTTGCGTTCCAGCAGCAGCGCCTCGCCGATAGCTTTCTGGGGGTGCCCAGATCCCCCCGAACGGCCGCTGCAGACCCGACTTATGCTCGACAACCAGTGCTCCTGCAGCAAGGAGCGTCTGGTGCTCGAGGTGCCTCAGTCAGCTGGCCTCTTGGGTTTGACTGGCGCTTCCAAGGTGCCCTGGCTCCTCCTCGGGCCTGTGAGCCCGCGTCGGCAGCGGGATGGGTGGGGTGCGACTGGCCTCCGCAGCCTCCTCCTCGTCCCCCTCAGGGTGTTGCCACCCAGAGATGCCCGGCCTGGGCAATCTCGTCGCTGCTGGGCTCGCTGATCTAGCTCGGCAAAGCTCCGCGCTGCCGCCGCCGCCGCAGGACTCCGAGGATTCGGGCGTTCACAGTTTCGATGCAGGGTCGGGTCGGCTTGTATCTTAGCCATCCCCCTTGGGCAGTGGGCTCCTCAGGGAGTTGCCTCCGCCTCCTCCCAGTCCTCTGGGGGTCTGGTGCCGGCTTTTTCGCCAGCGGGAGTCCACCGCCTGCTGGGGGCAGCTGCGCCCTGCCCTGTGGCTCCCTTCCCCTCCTTCTCCCACTCCTCGCGGGAGCCTCCCCGCCCTTCTCGCAGTGAGGTTTGACGCTGGCGACGATCGACGACGTTGACGATGGTGACCATGGACGTTGACGATCGACGACACTGACGATCGACATTGGCGACGTTGGCTTGACGTTGACGACGTTGACGATCGACGACGTTGACGTGATATGGAGGACGCTCCTTGATCTCCGACCACTTGAGGCCTTTGTGGGCCCCGGAAACGGCAGGGCCGTTTTTTCACCGTTTCCAAAAAAAATTCCCTTGAAAATGGAAACGGCAAAAAAACGGCGACCGGAAACGGCAGAATAACGGCTCCAGGATTGGAACCGGAGCCGGAACCGGTCAAAAAACGGCGACGGAACCGGTAAAAAAAACGGCGTCGGAACCGGCAACAAAAACGGCAAAAGGAACCATCAAAAAAACGGCCCTGTCGTCTCCAGGGCCCACAAAGCTTGAGGCATGTTCTTCAATCCCGACGGGCGCTGTTCCTCGACTTCGGCCACCACGGGGCCCGTGGCCCGGTCCTGGGGGCCATCAGGTGTGGACCCTGGACGAGCAGCGGCCCCTGCGGAGGGGCTCGGGGCCTTTTCCTGGGGCCTCGCGCTGCGCAGAAGTCACATCGCCCGGCGTCGCACGCGTGCATTTTTCCTTCGGCGAGGACCATCGAGGAGCATCCTCGATCATTTGGCGAAAAAGCCACGCACGAAACCGACAACACAGGGAATGGACGTCCGAGCGATGGCGAGGTCGGGATTGACGACGGCGACGACTTCGAGGACGACGGCCGGCTGGCCGGCCAGCCGCGGAGGTCGAGCCCGACGTCCCACCGATCGGCCAGCTGCTCTTCGACGACCCCCCAGCGGAGGCCGCCCCGCAGGGCGACGACAACCAGCGACGCCGAAGACGATCGACGAAAGGCGGCGACGGCGACGACGGTCGATGGCAATCGGCGATCGACGACACGGAGAGGATCGACGGCAGCGACGACCGACGACACGGGGACCATCAACGGCGCTGGCGACGATTGGCGGCGACGACGATTGACGGCGACGGCGACGATGGACGGCGGCGGCGATCGACGACGGCGGCGACGACGCGCGACGTCGGCGACGAGGATGGAAGACCCCCGACTGTCGACGGCGCCAGCGAGGATAAACGGAGATGACGATCGACGGTTGCGATCATCGGCGGCGGCCATGGACGGCGACGATCGACGGCCCCGGCGATCGACAGCGACGACTATCGACGGTGACGATGATTCACGACGGCGACGAAGATCGATGGCGACAACCGACGACGCCTGCGACCGAGGGCGACGAGCAACCACGGCGACCTAGATCGACGGCGACGACGGTCGACGGCGGTGGCGAACGACGGTCGACGGCGACGAAGACGACGGCGACGGCGACGGCGACGGCGGTGGGCGGCGACGACGACGGCGACGACGATCGGCGATCGGCGATCGACGATCGACGATCGACGATCGACGATCGACGACGACGATCGACGGCGACGGCGACGGCGACACAGAGGGAAGAGACACAAGCCTCCACCACCGCCTTCCCAACTTGGCTCCCCTGCGCCGACACAGCAGTGGACCTTGAAATTCTAGACGCTTCGCGTATCCCCTGATGTGCCGTTGCATGTTCACCTCAGGGGCTGCCCGGCAGACTCCCTGGATTTGCACGCCTTGGCTTCTCAGACGCCCTGGGTTGCCGCTGCCCGCCGCCTGACCGCGGCCCCGCGCGCGCCCGCCCCCTCGTCGCGGCCGCAGCCCGACCGTGACCGCCTGCCGCTGGCGCTTCCGCCTGCGGCCGTAAAAAAAAAAAATATATCCCCACCAGCCTCCGTAGCCCCTTTGGCTCAAGCCGCTCTGGCTCGAATTGGCCTCAGCGGCTGGCCGGCCGTGGCCGGGGGCCTGCCCTTCGGTCCTCGGCCTCCCCGCCCGCGGGGGCGCGCGAGGGGTTCGCCCCCCTCCGCGCCCCCGTTCGCTCGGCCATGGAGTCGCGCTCGGCGCGGCGGCGGCGGCAGCGGCACGCCACCGCCTGCCGCGCCGCCGCCGCGGCCGGCCCGGCCGGCCTGCGGCCGCCGCGACCCGGCGTGGCCCCTGGCCTCTGCGTGGCCGGCGGCGCCGCCGCTGCGGCCGCCGCCGCCGCAGCGGCCGCCGCGGCTGTGGCGGCGGCCGGCCGCGGCGAGACCGCCGCGGCCGCCGGCGCTGTGGCGCGCGCCGCCGCTTTGGGGCCTGCCGCGGCGGCTGCGGCCGCCGCCGGCGCGGCAGCCGCCGCCGTGGCCGCTGCGGCCGCTGGTGCCGACGCTCCCGCTGCTGCTGGTGTCGCGGCCGCCGCTGCCGCCGCCGCCGCCGCGGCCGTTTCGGGCGGGCCGCTGGCGGCGCCCGCCGCCGCTGGCCTCATTGGACATGAGGCTGCTGCCCATCATTATCTCCTACGTCATCCTGAACAGCTGGTGCGAGAAGGGCAGGCGTTGGCAGTGGCAGGTGGCCGTGGCGCTGGTGAACGAGATCCTGGTCGTGAAGCTGGAGCCCAACATCATCACGCACGGCACTGTGAGCAGCGCGTGCGAGATGAGCAGGCGGCAGCAGAGGCAGCAGGTGGTGGCGCTGCTAGTCGAGGCCCCGGTCGTGAAGCTGGAGCCCACGTTCATAAACTCTGGCACGGTGAACGGCGCGTGCGAGAAGAGCAGGCGTGGGCAGCGGCAGCAGGCAGTGCCGCTGCTGGACGAGATGGTGGCCGCGAAGCTGGAGCCCACCATCTTCACCAACGGCACTGTGAAGAGCGCGCGCGAGATGAGCAGGCGGCAGCAGCGGCTGCAGGTTGCGGCGCTGCTGGGCGAGATTGTGGCAGCGAAGCTGGAGCCCAACATCTTCACCTACGGCGCTGTGAAGAGCGCGTGCGTGAAGAGCAGGCGTCAGCAGTGGCAGCAGGATCTGGCGCTGCTGGGCGAGATTGTGGCCGTGAAGCTGGAGCCCAACATCATCACCTACGCCACTGTGAACAGCGCGTGCGAGAAGAGCAGTCGTCGGCAGTGGTTGCAGACTGTGGCGCTGCTGAGCGAGATGGCGCTCCTGCAGCTGAAGCCCAACACCATCACCTACCACATCCAGAACAGCTGGTGCGAGAAGGGCGGGCGTTGGCAGTGACAGCAGGCAATGGCGTTGCTGAGCGAGATGGTGGACGTGCAGCTGGAGCCCAACATCATCACCAACGGCACTGTGAAGAGCGCTTGCGAGAAGAACAGGTTCCAGCTGTGGCAGCAGGTGGTGGCGCTGCGGGGAGAGATTGTGGCCGTGAAGCTGGAGCCCAACATCAACACGCACGTCACTGTGAACGGCGCGTGCGAGAAGAGCAGTCGTCGGCAGTGGTTGCAGACTGTGGCACTGCTGAGCGTGATGGCGAACGTGCAGCTGGAGCCCAACATCATCACCTACTGCATCCTCAGGCCTTCAGGAGGCGCCGTCACCTCGACGACTACGCCGACGACGACTACGACCACGACCACCACGACGCCGACGCCGCCGACGGCGACCTCCACGGACGCCGTCGCCTCGACGACGACGACGACGACCACGACCACGACCGCGAGCACGAGCACGACCACGACGACGATAGGGGGTTGGAATAGGAAATTCTTGACAGTCGCAGACGGGATGAGCCTTCAGCTTGGGAGTCACAGGCGGGACGAGCCTTCAGCTCGAGTCTCCAAGGCGCATCCCACAGCTTCAGAAGGGACGAGCCTTCAGCTCGAGAACCAGAGACGACGCCCATGGATGCCGAGAGCGCTGCAGAGACTGTGGCCATGAGTGACGGCGGCATTCTCGAATATCGGCCCAGGAGCTTGTCCAACGAGGGTGGATGGCCTGTGCTTGAGGCTGCCCAGTGGGGTGGCAGCGGTGATGATGGGTGGGTGGGCCGAACGCAGTCCGCCCGCGCCCCCGATCCACATCCCATTGGCTCACGCCCACACTCCGCCGACCACCCTCCCTTGGACGCGTCAAGACAGAGAGGGGCAGCCTTCAGCTGCGAGGGGGTCGATCCCTTGACCGTGGAGGCCTCCGTCCTGGTCGCGCAACCGACCCCTCCAGCTGACCTGAGCCTACGTCAAAACGGCTCCCGCCTTCCGCCCGCCGCCTCCCCCGGGCGCGATCAGGTTGCACACGCAGAAGACGGGCCTTCAGCCCGGGGAGCGCCGCGCGAAGCAGCGAGAGTGGATGAGCCTGTAGCCCGGGAGTCTTTAAAAGGGCAGATGAACGTTGACGGCGGCACGGCTGCCAATCAGCTCCCTGGGCACCCCTTTCATCCCGCGGACTCCCGTCCTTCACCCGCCCCCCAAGCTGACAGTCACAGACGGGGCGAGCCTTCAGCTCGGGAATCATAGGCGGGACGAGCCTTCAGCTCGAGTCTCCAAGGCGTATCTCACAGCTTCAGAAGGGACGAGCCTTCAGCTCGGGAGTCACAGGCGGGACGAGCCTTCTGCTCGAGACTCCAAGGCGTATCTGTTGAGGCGCGAGCGTCTGTGGCTCCAGCTGTTGAGGCACGAGCTCAAGCTATCACATTGCCAGTCGCCGGGGCTGTCGGCCACCACCTCGTATCCCATTGCTCCCCCCCTGGCAACAGCATCGTGGCGACAGGTGGGAGTGCTGCTGAGGGGGCGCCCGCGATCGGAGACCAGCTTCCTCCCGACAAGAGGTCCACGACGCCTCCCCGAGCGGATGGTGGAGGACATCTCGAGCCTCGTCGCAACATCGAGGGTCAGGAGTTCACACTGGAGCGCGCGGCCTTCAGCTGCAGTAGTCCCCCGGGAGTGCTACGGCCCGAACAGGTGGTCGTCAGCCACAGCGCGCCGGTGCGTTCCCCTCCAAGAAATGACCTAGCAGGCGTTCCTACAACCCCTCACTCCTATCAGCGTCCCGGGGGCGGTCTCGTTGTTGAGGCGGAAGATGCGGCCAAAATTGCGTGCCCCCCTGGCAGCAGTATCGCGGCGACAGTCGGGAACGCCGCTGAGGGCGCGCCTGCGCTCGGAGACCCGCCTGCTCCCGAAAGGAGGTCCACGACGCCTCCCCGAGCGGATGGTGGAGGATATCTCGAGCCTCCTCGCAGCATAGAGAGTCAGGAGTTCACACCGGAACGCGCGGCCTTCAGCTGCAGTAGTCCCCTGGGAGAGCTACAAACCGAACAGGCGGTCGTCAGCCGCAGCGCGCCGGTGCCTTCCCGCCCAGGAGACAACCAAGCAGGCGTTCCCACAGCCCCTCCTATCAGCGGCCCGGGGGCGGTCTCGTTGTCGAGGCTCAGGCGCTTGTGGCTCAAGCTGATGTGGCACGAGCTCAAGCTACCGCATTGCCAGTCGCCGGGGCTGTCGGCCACCACCTCATATCCGATTGCTCCCCCCCTGGCAACAGTATCGTGGCGACAGGTGGGATTGCTGCTGAGGGGGCGCCCGCGGTCGGAGACCAGCCTCCTCCCGAGAAGAGTTCCACGACGCCTCCCCGAGCGGATGGCGGGGGATATCTCGAGCCTCCTCGCGACATCGAAGGCCAGGAGTTCACGCTGGAACGCGCGCGCGTGCGGGCCACAGACGGGCGCGCGTTTGCGATCGGCACCGACCCTCCAGCCAGCGCCTCCGAGGCCATCCCCGTGGCCGACGGCCGATACGGAGCCCATTACTTGCAAAGCCTGGGGCTGTCGATACATCTGGTTGGCGGCGAGACCCAACAACGCCCCGCTGCGACTCCGCCCGCCGCCGCCCCTGGCACTCTCGAAGACCCCTCGCTGGGGGGCCACGAACGCGCCTTGCAGAGGCAGGACATCGAGGCCATCCGCCAGCTTGTCGAGAGAAGTCCCTTCGCGCCCA